GGGGGGGGGGGGCGCTGATGAATATAAGAGTTTGGTGATAAAAGTACTTTCTTCTAAATACTGCCATTTCTAACCTGTTCCCTCCCATTCACCCTGAAAAACCATCATCAGCCACAATGGCTGTAGGGAGGCTAAGATAATTTTACTCCAATAGAAATTCTGGGGTTTACGACACCAAGAAAAAAAATCTTTTCTGTTGGACCAAAAGCCAGGCCCCCAAATTCAGGGCAGCCTTGTTTTACACTGACACATGATTTCTATATCTATTTTTCAAAACTAGAGGCTTTGCTGTTTATTCAGACAGACACTGAGTGGAAAGAAGCCATCATGTGGGACTGGAGAAGAGAACTAGCAAAAGGTCCATGTGTGGGTAGCAAATTTTTTCTGTGGCCAAACCCAGTGTGGCAGCTGTTGGTATAACAATAATTGGATTCACTAGAGAAAAGAATAGAATGTAAAAATATAGCAAGAATAACTCCTGGAAGAGTCTGGAGAGATACTAACTTCTTGTTCTCATGTTATGTGTAGATCTTACTGATATGCTACCTATATTCTCTTCCTTTCTTTAAAGGTTTGTCCTCATTTACAAAAAGGGCCCTTTACAGAACCCTAAAGCTGAATTTTACACTCAGTTTAAGGCATCAATGCATGGCCAGAATAGTACAAAAGGGCCCTGTAACTAATGAGTTTAAGGCTCCTAACATTTTATATTCTACATAAAAGTCAGTCGACTGTGACCCCCATCAAAAAAAGGACCTTCTCTTACAGGCCTTTGTAATCAAGTCATGGCAAGAAACATGGGGAGAGAAGGGATTAGATATAATTAGGGTAAACATTTTCCTCATTTAGCCACATATGTACGCATTGTCATTATCCCGACATGGGCAACTCTGTCCATAAAACACAGTAAGCAATTTTCAAAACTGAATGAATTTCATGTCCAATGATCAATACATTTAAGCAAACCTATCAAATTTTAGATTCTGGTATTTAATAATACTAATGCATAACAGATATCTTTAAAGAAGAAATATTTATAATGTAAAACAGGCAGCACATGGCAGAAAGTGAAGTAAACTTGCTACCACTGAGGGTCCTATTATACAAAGCACACACAACAGATATGTTCAAGTGCATTTACAGCACAAGCCACTGAGTTCTCTAATCATAAGTGTAAACCCATGCTGCTGTTGTGCTAGTTCAAGGTTTTACCCCTTCTCTCTCCACTCCTTGAAGCTCTGCCAATGTTTCTTTATACTTCTAGCTGGATCCGCTCAATGGAGGCAGAATACTTTTATACCCGTTTAATCTTGGCATCTACATTGAAACTATCAATAATGGTAAACACTAGTGCCAGCTATAATAGCCTTTTAGGGATAAGGACACTTGCCAAGGAGAGGTTGAACTGAATTAACCATCCTGTATACCTAGGCCAATGAGTACTTGTCAGAAGGTAGTTTTTATTCTCAATATAGCAACTATGCAGTGGAAATTCAGTGGAAATGTGAAACAACACAGAAACTAGCCATCTTAATTATATATCAGTGGTTATTAACAGTCAGCGTTAATCCTCCTTTACATCTGTCATGCCAGCAATAATAGTCATTTGATTTGCAATGCCAAACTGAGACATGGTTAGGAAAGCATGCAAGCATAAAGAGCAGCTAACATATCCAAAAATGTTATTAGCATTATATGCATAGTGCTAGTTTAAAATCACAAAGCTGCATAAATTGCTGACCCAAAATGAATGCTAGGAATATACTATAGTGCCTTGGATTTCAAACACTGTCTCTGTCTTGCCAGAACAAGTGGAAATTAAAGCTTTTTTGTCTACTGTGGCAGAATCTGCAGTAAGACATCTCAGCTGCAGTGCAACTTTTGATGTTCAGAGAGTTTTGCAATGAAAGATCACATGTACCAACCAACTTCTCTGGACATTAGCTAGTCTTTTCATTATTTTGTCAAAATTATATAAAAACTATGGCCACTGGCTGCCTCCATGACAAGAACGGAATTTATGGGGAAAATCTGCTTTCTTCTGGAAAATTCCATAGAATTTGGTAATCCGTGGAACTGTACCCATTTAATGTACCAGCATAATACTGTAGCAGAATTTCTAACTTTCAGCTCAGGATAGTTTTATCTCCATTTTTAGATTTGTGTCAGAGAACTGCAATTAGAGATGGCCTGAACTTAAAGTAACCATGTTATTTTATATTTTCTCTTTCCTTGTATTACAAACATTAACAAATCTCCATAGAAACTACTTTAAACACACAGGCATCCAATTGCTAATGCATGCACATGAAGCGATTTCTATTGCTAGAGTTTACACAGTTCTGAAGAAATACTATGTTAGCTACAGAAAAAAAAAATCTATGGCAATGAGCAATTTGTACACAGCAACAAAACAAGTACCATATAAAATTAAAAACAAATCCTTACCTTGTGTTTCAGAGTCCCGTGTTCTGAAACATAAGTAAAAATTGGCATTATCAGTGGCTGTATATTTGATCTTTTATATAATAATGTCAGTCTGTACGTGCTGCGCAAAAACACACTACTGCTGTGTTTTGCTAACCGATACCTGTAATATGTTTCAACAGCCCCGGGGCTGAGCTAGTTATTGTTTTGCTAACAGTGTTCCCTCAGCTTATTGGCTCCTCAGGTAACAGTGAATCAAAGTTGTAAATGGCTTGTTTCTGAGTTATGTGGAATTTTCCAACAGTTGCATGCCAAACAAAATTAACTAAATCTTTATAAATGATTATTACAACTTTCAAAACCACAGTATAAATGTTTGCAAATTCTGAAGTTCCTATTCACAAGTCTAACTTGTACCTCTTCTCATTTTTGTGAGAATTCACAGTATTCTGCACAGCTGTTAAACTTTATGTCTTTAATTTTGAAGTTCTCCAAGTTTTATGTACAGTACTTGGATTCTTAACCTTAGCATTGCATTAATATACTTTAGGATTCTGTTTTGCTTTCTGGGTGAACTTTCTCCTTTTCTTCCATTTAAGAAAGAAAAAAAGGAAAAAAAAAGTCTCTGGATTAGTCTCTGCAATAAAAAAGTCTCTGCAATAACTGCATCAGTGTGTCTGTGTTTAAACAGAAAACCACACATTCCCATGAATTCAGGCAGGGCTTTATGGAATGTGTAATCTGATCAGCATAAACACATTCATGCACTCATGATTTTATTTCAACGCCTTATCACCAAAATGCAACAGCTGTGTTTATTTCTATGTGCTGTTCTCTAAGACTATGAATGCGGTTTGGTAAGGAAAATTACATGTTGCACACGCCTAGTCCGTAAAATATCGTAAGGCACACGTTTGTCAATGAAGACCATATAGTAAATAAGCCAATATGAAATTATAAAACCCAGATTTTGATTTGCTAAAGCTAAAAAAGGTATCTGAAAGTTTAAAATGTAGAACAAAATCATGCAATGGTTAACATTTTATTAAAAGATAAAGTTATATGATGGCAATAGTCATAATACAAAACAAGAAATCCCAGCAGGAAACAGGAAGGATAAAATACTTGCCACTATAAGCAGTACAAGTTTTCCACATGTAGGAAGTACTAGGGAAATTTTTTTTTTTTTTTTAATCATACTTCTATAATTTTAAAAAAATAGCTGCAAAGATTTTGTTCAGCTTTCCCAAAAGTAATTTACTTTTCTGCAGTAAATACGCAAGGAAAAGAAATTAAAGGAGTTGTTTTGAGATTATTAAAGGGTAGGGTTTTCCACAAAACTAAGGTAGGTGCAAACATTCAAAAACCCCCAAGATGAAATCACTCTAAGTATCACACTTTACTCAAAGCTTTCTCGATTAGGTAGGAACTAAACAGCAAAGATGTCATTGCTTGCAGGGGTGTAACAATCAGAGCCTGCCTGTACTGGCTGAGGCCACAGGCTGGGGGCACTCCCACATGCCACCCAGGAGGCTCCTGGAGAATGTCAAGCCCAGTTGAGCAGCCAGTCACCCACAATGGGCCAGTGCAGCCCCTCTCCCCAGCCCTGCCACCCCACCAGCTGGCTCCTGTCAGTGCTGGCTGCTCACAGGTGAGGAGAAGGAAGGAAGCCCCCTGCCACGTGGGCTCCCCCCAACTTGCAGGCACAAGTCTTGGGGGGGGGGGGTAAACAGAGGAGGGTCAGAGCTGGACCTGCACAGCAGGGCTAGGGACAGACATTCAAAAAGCCTGAGCCTGAATTCATTCAATCTTTGCAGGTTAGTCTAACCTGCCTAGATTGAATAAGTTTGCCATTGCAGAGACATTCCCTCTGGACTGAGGAAATGCAGGCACATGCCTGCAGTGGCTCAGGCTAGAAGCCGGGTGGGGAGAACACTAGAGTAGCCCTCCCCTCCCTTCCACAGTGCTAAGCTGAGGGGGGGCATGGCCAGGCCCTGTCAGGACTTCTGATTAGGGAGGGTTTTAAACCCTCACCATGCCTGCACAGTCCCAGGCTTTTCCCTGCTCAAGGGGCAGAGGTGTTGCAAGACCCCGGTCCCCAGCTAGCACAGAGGCAAAGGCAGGGGGATGTACAGTGCATGCATTTGTTGATGATACTGAGCTTTCCAATCTCTCTCTCCCTGCTTCTTCATACTTTCTGCAAGCCTAACAGGAGAGGGAGCCAGCAGGGAGCTGATAAAACAGTGCTTATCAGCCCATCAACAAAACAAAAGTTTTTCATTAGTTCACGCTCTTCTTAAACAGCTTTTTCCAAAGGAGGAACAGGGGAACATTACCAGCTGACCTGCTGATTAGCTCCAAAAAGCCCTAAGCAGATACTGTTCTGTCTGCTTGTCCCAGTAAAATTGGAGATGCACACACACAGAGACCCCTCTCAGCATTAGCTAGCACACCACATGCCTAGGGTCCATGGGGCTGGGGTCTGTGCTGCGGGAGATGGGAGGGAGGGAGGGATCCCTGCTTGAGCAGCGAGAAGCAAGCAGCCTGGGAGGGGAGAGAAGGGAGGGGAGGGGAGGAGGAAGCCAGAGAGACCCTGCTGTACCTGCAGTCTCCTCCAGAGCTCTGGCTAGAGGGGAGAGGGGTGGGGACAGCCCTGTTCTGTTGAACAGAGAGCACAGCCAGCCCAGCCAGCCAAGGCTGCAAAGCACCTGAGATGCTGGGGGACTCTGCTGGACCTTCAGGAAGGGTCCTGGGACAGACACTGTATAAACCAGTTTGACCCAAATCAGTTAAGTCTGATACTACATTCAAACAAGTTTATCTTAAATCAGTTTTGGTTTAAGATAAACCAGTTTCGGCCATTTTGAAACTGGTTTACATGCACTGGACGTCTATTCTGTTACAGGTTTAAACCACTTTCTGATCACTTAAACCAGTTTATGTGTAATATCTGTTCCTAGCCCAGGGGGATCCACTCCTCTCTCCTTCACCCACCTGCTCCCAGTTCCTGGTGCAGCAGAAAGCAACACATGGCTATAAGCTGCAGCTGTCAGGATGGTGGTGGGTGGGGAAGGGATAGAAAAGAGAGGCCCTCTGCCACAGTGGCCCCGCCTCCAACTTGCAGGCTCAGGTCTTGCAGAGGAGCCTGCATGGCAGGGTGGCTCTGTTCCTCCACTTGCCCGCCGCCAGTTCCCAGCACAATGAGAAGCCACACACTCACAGCTCCGAGATGCAGCTTATGGCAGGCCAATAGGGGCGCTCCTGTGTTGAGCCATCCACCTCACTGCACTTGACCACCTTCCAGGCTCTGAGTGCCTCCCTGGAGGCGCCTCACATCTGGCCGACCCCCTTCCTGGAGCATACCAGCTAGGCTGGGGGTAACACTGCCACCACCCAGGGATGGGCTTGATTTTGGCTCTGCGCACCCTGGGAAACAGGCCTAGTAGCTCTCAAGGGTACTTGATTCACTTCAGGAACTTGGGATGCTTCCCTCCATCAGAAGCACAAGTAGCGGTCTCCCTTACTCAGCTGAACCAAGGGAACCCCAAGGCATAATCTAGACCCACTCCTAATAAGTCTCCCACACTAGGTACAAAGGAGAACTTTACTGGTTACAAGGAGTAGGGTTGGAATAGGGTACAG